CAGCGATCGTTTTTGGATGGACAGCTTTTATGAACCAAAACCGACCCCATGTGCGCGACGCTGGGGCGAGGTGCGCCACGCGCGCCAGGCACACCTGGGGCCCCAAGCGTACCAGGCACGTCTGGTGCGCCACTGTCGGGGCACGCGCAGAGTGTACCGGGTGCGCCTGCGCACGTGGCGGCACACATCGGAACCATGTCGCCCCCCACCATCTTTGTCGAAAGCCAATGCGCAATCGCGGCGGGGTGGTCATCATGGTGTCTGGTGGGCCTGCGTACACCAGGCCATATGCCAGCACCCCCGCCGTCCTTTTCAAAAACCACTTGACAGGGATCACGGGGTGGCCGCGCATGATCCAGATTTAGCCGCGAAGTGCATTCTGTATTGTTTTTCTGCAGGGGTGGTGGCCGTGCACACAGCAGGCAACATGCTGGCACCCCCGCCGTCCCTGTCAAAAACCAATACAAAGTGTTCGCGGGGCTCACGAGCATGACCCATGACTTGGCCCAAAGTGTACTCTGTATTGTTTTTTGACAGGGATGGTGGGGGGCGGCCGCATCGGGTTGGCTGCGCGTGCTCCCAGTTTGGAGGCAGAGTGTGTTTTGCATTATTTTTTATAAGGGATGGTGGTGGGGGGGGTGCTCATGGTTTCTGGTTGGCTCCCGGTCGCCTGGGGGAGGGGGTGTAATAAGTAACACTGGACGAAACGACCAAAGGTTCAAATACCAGTGCAAAGGTCCCGACGGGGCAATCGTAGTCCCGCCAGCTACGGCTCGAGTGCGACAGGAGAGGCGGGCGCGCCCGCGGGCGGCCGCACGTGGACGGCGGCTGGGACGAGCAGCCGGGCGGCCTGGGCTTCCTGGGGGCTTCCTGGGGGCCCTGGACGGCCTCTTGGGGCCATCTTGGACGACCACCTGCGCCCAGGGCCATTTTGGACGACCACCCGCGCCCAGAAGGCACGTGGGATCTGCTGGCACCCCCGCCGTCCTTGTAAAATACGGATGCAAAATGGTCGCGGGGCGGCCGCGCATGCTCCGAATCTGGAGGCAGAGTGTGTTTGGTATTGTCTTTTGTCGGGGATGGTGGGGGGGGGGCCTCGCGCATGCTCCGAATGTGGAGGCAGCGTGTGTTTTGTATTGTCTTTTGACAGGGATGGTGGGGGGGGGCCTCGCGCATGTTCCGAATGTGGAGGCACAGTGCGTTTTGTATTGTTTTTTGACAGGGATGGTGGGGGGGGGCCCTCGCGCATGCTCCGAATTGGGGAGGCAAAGTGCGTTTTGTATTGTTTTTTGACAGGGATGGTGGGTTGGGGGGCCTCGCGCATGCTCCGAATGTGGAGGCAGAGTGTGTGTGTTTTGTATTGTTTTTTGAAAGACATGGTGGGGGGGGGGGGTGCACATTGGCCCTGGTTGGCCCCCGGTCGCCTGGGGGAAGGGGGTGTGTATTAATAAGGAGCAGTGATAACCCCCTCCCCCGAGCAGGGGAAGGAGATGGGTTTGGCAGAGAAAAACACAACTCGTTAAACCACCTACGCCCAGAGGGTTGGTGGGATTTTTTACCTCTTCGGGTCTTCCTGGATACCCTTTTAGAGGCCTCTTCGGCCGTCTTCGAGGCCTCTTGGTGGCCTCATGGGCCGTCTCGGACCATCTTGGAGCCATTTTGGGCCGTCTTGGTGGCTTCTAGGGCGAACTTGGAGGCATATTGGACCCTCTTCGGGCCGTCTTGGAGGTCATCTTGGACCATATCGGGCGAACCTGGAGGCCATCTTGGACCATCTTGGCCGTCTCTTGACCGTCTTGGACGCCATCCACGGCCCCAAAAACCCACGACCTATACATGTTCGGTGGCTTTTCGGGTGGCCGGAGGGACGGGCCGAAAATCCAGGCGAGTTCTTTTGGAAAAGAACCGAAACAACAAGCGGTAGCGTCTAGCACGCCAGGCATCTCTGTGATAAATCAACGGGGGGCGGCGGATGACGGAAAGAGCGAGGTACGAGTGATGTACGTTGAATTGGGGCGAAGCCCTGTAGGGAGGAGTGCAGAGGAGGGGCGAGGCGCGAGGACATGAGTTTAATCGTCCCCCCCCCCCCCCGAGACGGCCCCAGAGGCGCCTCAGACGGCCCAGCTGGCGCCCAAGACGGTCCAAGAGGGATCCAAGATGGCTCCAAGACGGTCCAAGAGCGCTCCGAAACGGCCCAAGTTAGGTCCAAGACGGTCCAAGAGAGCCACAAAACGTCCTAAGATGGCTCCAGGACGGTCCAAGAGACCCCCAAGACGCCCCAAGTGGCCTCCAAGAGGCTTCCCAAGAGGGCCCGAGGAGGCAAACATCATTGTGTTTTTTTGTGTGTGTTTTTTTTGTATCCGCTTTTTTTCCTGGCCAAGAACAGCCGAAAACGGCCCAAGAGGCTCCAAAGATCGTCCCAAGACGGCCCAGGAGGCTCCTAGAGGGGCCCGAAAAGGGCCCAAGAGGGCCCCAAGACGGCCCCAAGAGAGCCCCAAGAGAGCCCCAAGAGGCTCCAAGAGTGCCCCAAGAGGCTGCCAAGGGCGCCCCAAGACGGCCAAAGGCCTCCAAGAGGCCCCAAGACGGCCCAAAAGGGCCCCTAGACGGCCCAAGTGGGCCCCAACACAGTCCAAAAGGGCTCGGGCCCCCAAAGGACCCCCAATAAGGCCCAGAGACGCCAAACAAAAGAGTGATGGGTAACGCAAAAAGCTCTTCACACCAAGGCTCCGAACAGCGAGCGGTGACGTGACAAGAGCTCGTAACACCAAGGCTCCCAAGAGCGAGCGGTAACGTAAACAAGTCTCGACACCAAGGCTCCCAAGAGCGAGCGGCAACGTAGACATCTCTGAACACCAAGGTTCCCAAGAGCGCGCGGCGATGTAACAATCTCTGCGCACCAAGGCTCCCAAGAGCGAGCGGTGACGTAACAAGCTCTCAACACCAAGGCTCCCAAGAGCGAAGGGTGCCATGAACCATCTCGGGCAAGTTCCTGAGGCGCTCTTTCCGTTCCCGTGCCGGCCCAGGTGACGGAAAGAGCGAGGTACGAGTGATGTACGTTGAGTTGGGGCGAAGCCCTCTAGGGAGGAGTGCAGAGGAGGGGCGAGGCGTGAAGACATTAATTTAATGGCCTCCCCCCCCGAACACGACCCCAGAGGCGCCCAAGACGGCCCAAGAGGCGCCCAAGACGGTCCAAGAGGGGTCCAAGATGGCTCCAAGACGGTCCAAGAGCGTTCCAAAACGACCCAAGTTGGGTCCAAGACGGTCCAAGAGGGCCCGAAGACGCCCTAAGATAGCTCCAAGACGGTCCAAGAGGACCCCAGACGCCCCAAGTGGCCTCCAAGAGGCTTCCCAAGAAGGCAAGAGGAGGCACAATTCATTAGTTTTTCAATGTTTTTTTGCAGGTTTTTTGTGGTTCTCATTTTTTCGGGCCAAGAATGGCCGAAGACGGCCCAAGAGGCTCCGAAGATCGTCCCAAGACGGCCCAAGAGGCCTCCAGAAGGGCCCGAAAAGGGCCCAAGATGTCCCCAAGACGGCCCAAGAGGGCCCCGAAACGGTCCGAGAGGGTCCCAAGACGGCCCCAAGAGAGCCCCAAGAGAGCCCCAAGAGGCTCCAAGAGTGCCCCAAGAGGCTGCCAAGGGAGCTCCCAAGACGGCCAAAGGCCTCCAAGAGGCCCCAAGACAGCCCAAAAGGGCCCCAAGACAGCCCAAGTGGGCCTCAACACAGTCCAAAAGGGCTCTAAAAGGGCACCAAAAGGGTTCCAAAAGGATCCCCAAGAAGGCCCAGAGACGCCAAACAAAAGAGTGATGGGTAACGCAAAAAGCTCTTCACACCAAGGCTCCGAACAGCGAGCGGTGACGTGACAAGCTCGTAACACCAAGGCTCCCAAGAGCGAACGGTGACATGAACAATTGTCTACATCAAGGCTCCCAAGTGCGAGCGGCAACGTAAACATTTCTGAACACCAAGGCTCCCAAGAGCGCGCGGCAATGGAACAATCTCTGCACACCAAGGCTCCCAAGAGCGAGCGGCAGCGTAACAAACTCTGAAAACCAAGGCTCCCAAGAGCAAGCGGGGACGTCACAAGCTCTCAACACCAAGGCTCCCAAGAGCGAGCGGCAACGTAAACATCTCACAACACCAAGGCTTCCAAAAGCGAGCGGTGACGTAAGAAGCTCTTAACACCAAGGCTCCCAACAGCGAAGGGTGGCATGAGCTACCTCGGGCAAGTTCCTGAAGCGCTCTTTCCGTTCCCGTGCCGGCCCAGGTGACGGAAAGAGCGAGGTACGAGCGAGTGACGTTTGTGCAGGGGCGAAGCCCTTCTTAGGGGGTGTCCAGGGGGGGGGCGAGGCGCAGGTGGGCGGTCTAATGGCCTCCTGGAGACGTTGGCGCCTCCCACCGCGCCTCCCAGCGCCAGAGAACTCGGCTGCGTGAGCCTCTCCTACCCCGCTCGCGTCCGACCTGATCTCATCGAGGCCCTCCTGACCCAGACCCCCTCGAGTCATGGGAAGATCACAACGGGAGGTTTTTCGTTTTCGACCTCCAGGGGCCCTTCCCGGGCCTCGGGATCTCAGGACCCAGGCCAGTCCGTGCTCCATGGCCCGTGCTCGGAGCATGGCCAGCTGCGACTTCGGCGGCTCTCCCGCCCAGCCCCAGCTCCTCCCCGGGTCCAGACTTGAGCCAGTTCTTGCTCGAGCTGCGCCCGGCCGTGGCGAGGCCACGAGCGAGGCCAAGAGCGAGGCATCGTGGCGGTCCGCCGATGACCTCAGTTGGCACTACTATTATGTCGGGCATGTCCCCCTACAGGGGGATTTTCGATGAAACATTAAAAAAATACAGCAAAAATGCCCCCCAAAGGCCAAACAAACACTCAAAAAATATTCCCCAGGCTATTTTTAGATTTTTTTGTTCGTCGAAAATCCCTATGTAGGGGGACAGGCCCGAGTTAACACTACTACGATCCTTTTGTCCCCTCCCCCCCACGCCGCCCCGTGGCGCGCGAGGTTCATTTTTCCCATCTTCTACCTCGTGGGGGTCTGCATCACCTTCGAGCTCGTGAAGGCGCGCGGCTCCCCCTCTCTCCCGGGGAAGCGCGCGCGCGGCGGGCTCTCCCCGCCGTCCACCGAGGGCCCGTGGCGACGCCCCGACGGCGATCCTGCCGTCGCCGACTGCGACGACGAGGACGACGACGAAGACGACGGGCGGCTGGCGGCGGACGACCAGGAGGCTTGTCGTCGTCGTCGTCGTCGTCGTCGTCGTCGTCGTCGTCGTAGTTTTGGGCCCTCTTGGGCCCTCTTGGGGCCTCTTGGGGGCCTCTTGAGAGCCTCTTGGGGCCTCCTGGGTGCCTCTTGGGGCCTCCTGGGAGCTTCTTCGGGTGGAAGGCTCGAACTTGCCGTTCGTGTTCCCTCTCTGGGGCCTCTTTTGGGGCCCTCTTGGGGCTTTCTTGGGCCGTCTTGGGTGCCTCTTAGACCGTCTTGGGGCGCTCTTCGGCCGTCTTGGGGCCCTCTTGGGGGCTTCTGGGCTGTTTTGGGGTCGTCTTGGTTGCCTCTTGGGTTGTCTTGGGGCGTCGGAAAGCCGAGAAGTCGAGAATGCCGAACTCCTTCAAAAACCTGAGGGTAATCAATGAAATTGCCTCCTGGGGCACTCCTGGGAGGCCCGGAGGCCTCCTGGGGCGTCTTGGACGCGTCTCGGGCCGTCTGGGGACCGTCTTGGGCGTCCTGGGCGAACTTTTCGGCGACTCGGCCCCCCCCTTGGGGAGGCCCCGCCTTCGCGGCCTCTCAGGGGCCCTCCCCGGGGCCCGCCTTCGGGCGCCCTCGCGGGCCCGAGGCACTCGCGCGGGAGCGCCTCCGGGGTGCACGCGCCGAGCCCCAGGGGGCACGCGGCATGGCCCCGCCGAGTGTTGGCAGCTGGGGCCCGGGCCCCCCCCCCTTGGAAGACCCTTCAGGAGCGAGGGTCGAGGCTCAAGAGGCGTATAGGGGGCCACATGCGAACCCCACCCCTACCCCCCACGATTTCCGAGGGGTGGGGGGTGGGGTTCGCTTCGCTCGGGAGCTCCAGAACGAAGTGAACCCCACCCTCCCCCTCAGAAACCGTGGGGGGTAGGGGTAGGGTTCGCATGTGGCCCCCTACCCTTGGAAGACCCTTCAGGAGCGAGGATCGAGGCTCAGAGGCGTAGGCAAAGGATCTGTCGGAGGTGGATCGACCTCCTATTCTGACACGTCGATTAAGGAAAATTGGCCGTTCTCGGTTCGCGAGAGGGCGTCGCGGCCGTCGTTTCTGCGGGTCCTGCTCCGTCGGTTTCGGTCCCAGGACGTTTTCACTAAGGTGGGGTTACTCAAGGGAGGTTTTGTCCACCGCCGAACCTGAGGACACGCCCACTCCGTGCCCAGAGGCACGGTGGCAGATTTTCAAACGGCATTGTCCTCCATCCCTGCAGTTGCTGTAAAGCTTTCGGGTCGAATGTGCGCGGCGCTAAGGCGAGTGCCCTATTTTGAAGAGGAACCGCCCTCAAACGCTGTAACTTACATTGCAACTGGTGCAATGTTTTAGGATGATTCTGCGCGGGGCTAAGGCGAGAGTTCTATGTTGAGAACTGCCCGACCTCCATCCGTATGTTGCAAGTTTTTTTTTACGACAAGTGTGTGCGTCGCTAAGACGAGATCCGCATTTTGACCCTCATCCATCGTTGTAGCTGCTGTATGTCGTCACTCGGCGCGGCATTATTCGAGAGCTTTCCATTTTGAAAGCCTCCCGCCCTCCACCCTTGCAGATGTTGTGAATTTCAAACATCAGTATTATACGTTGTGAGGAATTTGCCGGCGGAGCGCCTGGCCTGCCCTACCGACACGCCTTGGTGATCAGTCGAGGTGGAGTTATTTGTCAGGAGAAGGGTTTGATGATGAGTAGGGTAGACAAGCAGTCTGAGGAGGAGGAGAAAGAAGAGGGGGATGAGGAGGAGGGGGAACGAAGAGGAGCCGTCGTTGGAGGAGGGAGAACGAGGAGTAACAGGAGGAGGAGGAGGATGAGGAGGAGGAGGAGGAGGAGGAGGAGGATGAGGGGGAGGAGGAGCAGGCAGGAAGGGGAGCCGGTGGAGGAGCGGGTGCAACGCGAGAGGGAGTAGGAGTGCGGCAGGGGTGGGTACGGCGCGCAGGCTTTCACCATCGAGGTCTTCATGGCCCTGAACGGGGAGGATCCAGTTCAGCCTTCGCAATTTCTCCCCGCTGCCCCCCCCGAGGCTCGAGGATCCCAGGAGGTCAGTGTTGGCCCCTCTCGGGCCCTTCGTCGCCACGGCTGGATTTACCACTTCGGAGCTCTGGTGAGAGCGCACCGCAGGGGAGGTCCGGGCGTGACTCAAAGGTCCGCCAGTCGTCTGAAGGTCTGATCTGCAAGTTGGACAATGTAAGAGACGGGTGGGGGTCGCTTCCGAAGCGGGTCCTCAGGAAGGGGGGCCTGGTGTCCACTACGGGGGGGTGGGGGAGTCGGCCCAGACGGGGTGGCAGCTGTAAGCTTAGGCCCTCCTCTTCCTGTGGCAGGCGCCACGGCCTCGCTCTTCCGCAGGCTGGCGGGTCGGTTCTTCGGCCTCTTGGCTGATTGGTTCGTTGGCTGACGGGCTGGACGACAGGAGGAGGCCGTGCCCTGAGCGCCGGCCGCACCTTCAGGCGCCTTTCTGCAGCAAGCGTGAACGTGCGCCAAGCCACAGCAGATCTTGAGCCTGGAAAGAAGACGCTTACTACATGGCCCTAATTGCTTTGGGGCGGCCAAGAGGGGGGTGATGACTAGGGGGGTGGATATCATGGCGGGGGCCATGATATTTCCTCAGATTTCATGGCGCCTCTTCTTCTTTCATTACGTCCCTGGGTCCCCCCCTGGGCCGCGCGCATGCCGCCAGCCATGATTTGCACCCTCCTCTTTGACGCCCCCCTCTTGGCCGCCCCCGAATTGCTAGAACGGCTGGCAACTAGTTGGGCCGATGAGTTTGTTGGCTGGTTGGCTGGCTGGCCGCCTCTGCCGCCGGCCTGGGTCCTCACGTTTCCCGCCGTCCTGACAGCGCTGCAGTGGGCACGTCTATAGTGATGACATTTGGAACTGGAACTGCTGCAGGGTGCA